GCTCGGCAACAATAGATCCTGCTGACAAAACAAAAGAAAAACCTTGTGAATTTTCCAAATCCTGACAAGTGGGAACAGACTTAGTTACGTTCTTTACAACAGTTTTTCTTTTTTTTAACTTTGCCAAAACTGTGTTTGTAAAGCATAATTATATAGTGAAAAGCACTTAAAATGAGCACACTTGTCAGTTTTCACAGGCAAGGCCTAACACAGCCTATTTCAGTATTTGTACCAAGCCTCTGCAACCTTGTTAACAGTGTCAGCTTTCCTTGTAAAACTGTGCGTCACTCAACAGAACCTGCCCTTTCAAACCCAGCACTGGGCGCTGCAGAGGTTCTTGCGTGAGGTCTCTCCTGAAACTGTATTTAGTCTTTATAACCTGCTGAAGGTCTGCGCAGCGACGACACTACTGCTTTGAGAAGGCCTGCGAGCCTCCCGGTTCCACTTCCCCCACTCAGGGGTTGTGGGAAACTTGAAATTTTTTCTTTATGGGAGAATACTTTGAATTTTGACCACATGCCGTGGTTATAAGATACCTGTTAAACTTGCAAAAAAAAACAACCTAAGAAACAACTAAAAACAGGTTGCACTCTTGAACACCTTCAACCAAACAATAACGAACAAGAGAGCTCGACGCGGATTCCTTCCCACCGAGTGGAGAGCCCGTCGTAGATGGCACACTGTGCTTCCAACATTCACACGTCACCGAAATGTTGTCATCTATTTATGGAAGACCGTGAAATCAATGTAATTTAAAATATTTTACTATATTTATATAATATTGTACGTGTACATGTATATGTGTGTATATATATATATATATCTATTGAGTTCACCTGTAAATATGCTTCTTTTTTTTTTTTGTACAATGTTGTATTGGAGCTGTAAAACAAAACAAATCCGAAGGTGGTTAATACCAAATTTGTTTCAGTGCATCGGAGCTTCAGCGGTTCTTCTCCGTTAAGACTGACTGAAATTCTCGTTTAGGAACTGTGTGAAAGCCCCGTTGTTGAGCGGTATCAGTCTTCTTTTCCTTTTTGGCCCCTGAACACAAACACAGCAAAATGTTGTTTCTGCACATCTCCGCTTGAGAGTACGTCAACCAACTCTTGACCTCAGGAGCAAAGAGGGCTTTGCCCATCAGTGTTACACTGTTGTTTCAATGAAACACTATGTATATCCTGTAATTACTGTCCAAATAAATCAAAGACAAATGGTAACTTGAGCTGTGTACACTCTTTCTTGTCCTCTGTTGGACTGTTTTTTGTTTGTTTTTTTTTTGGGGGGGATGTGGAAGAACTACTATGTTTAGTTTTTTTTATGTCCAAAACTCCTATGCACTGTGCTAAAGAGAGAGACCAAGTTCAGCTTAGATAGACCCAGGCCATATTTTGCTGTAATACCATTTTGTACCATGAGATGGTGCAGCAGGTCAATGTAAACTTTTTTATCAATGAAAATACATTTTTATTTACAACAACAGTGTGAGAAAAGGAAAAGCTTCATGAGGGAAAAGAGCAGCTAAAAAAATTAAAAACATCTGTCAAAAAAAACACTGCCGGTGTCACCCCTCCTCTCTCTTCTTCCTCATCTGACTCCGCCGTAGCTAAAGCATGGTCACGTGGTCTCAGATTCCTGAGTAGTGACCCATCACTTCCCTTACCCGTGGCACCTGGATGTCTCTAAACCACATACATACACATACAAATATTTAAACTCCTCCAATTGGAGGAGTTTAAATATCTCGGGGTCTTGTTCACGAGTGATGGAAGAAGGGAGCGGGAGATCGACAGACGGATTGGTGCAGCGGCTGCAGTGATGCAGACGCTGTACAGGTCTGTTGTGGTGAAGAGAGAGCTGAGTGTAAAAGCAAAGCTCTCAATTTACCGGTCGATCTATGCCCCTACCCTCACCTATGGTCACGAGCTGTGGGTAGTGACCCAAAGAACAAGATCGCGAATACAAGCGGCGGAAATGGGTTTCCTCTGAAAGGTGGCTGGCCTCTCCTTTAGAGATAGGGTGAGAAGCTCGGCCATTCGGGAGGGGCTCAGATGCTCCACATCGAAAGGAGTCAGTTGAGGTGGTTCGGACATCTGACAAGGATGCCTCCTGGGCGCCTCCTGGGTGAGGTGTTCCGGGCATGTCCCACCGGGAGGAGGCCCCGGGGCAGACCCAGGACACGCTGGAGAGATTATATCTCTTGGCTGGCCTGGGAAAGCCTTGGTGTTCCCCCGGATAAGCTGGAGGAGGTGGCTGGGGAGAGGGAGGTCTGGGCCTCTCTGCTTGGGCTGCTGCCCCCACGACCCGGCCCCGGATAAGCGGAAGAAAATGGATGGATGGATGGATGGATGGATGGATATTTACTATATGCAATAATGAATTTCTATACATTTTACATCAGATGACCACTTTGGTTGTAAGATTCAGATAATTATTTATTAAAAGCTAGACATTTAAAATGAAAATAAGAAAGAAAAGTATTTCTTTGTGCCCCCCTTTCCCTGTTAATGCCCTACCTGGCCCCCTGGCAAAACTTTGCTAGACTCGCCCCTGCACAGTTATCAGCCGCCAGCTACGTTAAAAAAGGATCCTGGTGTTATTTCTCAGAAACAGGTCATAACTTCCCTTCAACTCATTCATGTCACCTAAAAGGTAAACCTGTTCCTCCATCACCTGTTCAGCTCTGATGATTCAGTAAGGACATCTCCTGGTTTCATCTTCATGTTTCCCTCTCACCACATATCCAAACCGACATCATGACCAGCAGCTTTTACAGCTGTGGCTCCAGCAAACATCAGCTGATACTAGAAAGTAATATTAAATAAATTCTAACAACAGCTGATCAAGCTTAAACATGCTGCTGTTGTTTAGCGCGACCTCCACCTGTTTCCTCTTTCTGGCGCAAAGGGGACGATAAACAAACAAGAGAGAAAAGCCGATCAGCTGATCATTGATCAATTTCATGATTGAAATAGCAACAGGAGAAGGAGGGGGAGAAAATGAGAGAAGAAGAGGCAGCTGTGCAGCATAAAGACGCAGAAAAACTCCAGCTTTGCGTCTTTTTTTTCATTCTAGCTGAAGTATGGGACAAATTGCGTTCCTTTTCACCTCAATACAGAACTTTAAAGTTCAACCTCATCGGCTGTAATTGGTCCAGCCTAGAGTCGATCATGACCAATTAGCCAATCCACGCCTTTAAATGTTTATACCATTACAAAAAACAAACAGACAAACAAACAAAAAGACATCAGCCCATAAAAACAAAAAATCACCGTTGGGCATACCAGCTCTATGCTGAGAGCCAGGGTTAAAAGTTTACAATTGTTCAAATTTTGCTCAGCTGAAGTACCAGCAGTCTTGTTTGCCTGATATTTTTTTTAAAAATGCATCTCATTGTGAGTGAGAGTGCCCCCTGCTAGTTATTCAGCACATTATCGTCAGTCTGCTCACTTGTGTAGAAAGACTGAAGCCATCTTGCATCAGCCAGGTGCTTTTTAGCCCTCTGTTTCTTACTCACACTGGCAGCATCTGCTGGAATTGATCACAATCAGCTTGTCAGGAACCAACTGTAGAGAAATCAGATTATTGGGTCAAAAAATATTTATATATATATTTTTGAGAGTCTACTCGCAGTACTTGAGATCTCTGGGAGTCACCCAAATGGTGTCCCTTCAGAGACACAAGGGGGAAAGCAGCTAAATTGAGGTAATCCTGCTGCGCCAGGCATGAGTTACGTAAATGGAGAGATAATGTACATTCGCAGGAGATCGTGAATGAAGCGGCGCTCCAGCTGACCAATCTGATCCCTGCATCTGCAGGAAGCTGGGGATTACATATGCCTAATGGCTCCTACATAACTGACAAAGGCTATTTGTTCCTTGTTTTGTGTTTATATACTGAAGTGCTGGCTGGTACTATTGATGGTCCAATAATCAGACAATTGACATTAGAATTCCACCTTTAATGGTCGCCTTCCTTTTTACAACAAGTGGAAAGTCCCCACATAAAACTTCCGCCCCCCCTTTCCCGCCTGTGCATAGCCAGTAGGTAGATTACATACATCTTAACAATCTCCCCTTTTTCTTTAAGAAAATGAGACAAGAGACTAGCACTAGGGCTGGGTATCGTCACTGATTTCTAGAATCGATTCGATTCCGATTCACAAGTTCCTGAATCAATTTGATCCACGATTCGATTCAATTTGATTTGAATCTGGGAAATTTTGCCTCAGACAGTCAGAAATATTATAATTCAGATCAGTATATTTACATATTTTTGTATCTATAAAAAGGAAGCTGACACACGCAAGACTTTATCAAAGGTGTGAGCATCACAGCAGATGCCTTTGTGTCAAAGTAGCTGAAGATAAAACACAGAAAAACATGAAGGTGATTTTCCTGGCATGGATTTTATAAAAATATTCTGCAGTAGATCAAAAACGAAAGAAAATCATTAATCAACTTATGAACATTACCTCTGAAGTTACAGCGGTTTTATTAGAGACACGCTAAGCGTTTTGCATTTTGTATAATTTTAAAAAGTTTAAATTTGTTCAGAAGCCTATTGAATGGCAGAAATTAGGTTTTCTTTTCGGAAGTAAGTAAAAGGGAAAAAAAACATCGGCCGACAGCGCTGTAAATAACTGTAGTGTTGTGCGTAACAAGCAAGTGAATAATGCAGAAAACAGATTTCAGAGATAGACGGGAAACTGTTCTTGAAGTACACCGAGAAAGAGAGAGAGAGAGAGTGAAGTGATTTTATTGTGGTGGAAGCAAAACAGCAAAAATCAGAGGGAGTCCTTGACGATGTTTATGTGAAGCTTAGTTTGGATCTTCATTTGCTGCTGGTTCGGTCAATATTGTTTGGAGAGAGTGTGGTGGGGCGTGGTCTGCGGTGCCGTGCAGGGAGGGCGGACGCACCTGCACGGCATCCATAATCATGCCCGCTGGGTTAAAACACGGGGACTCAGAGCACTCCCTTTTCCATTTAAAGGATTCTCCTTAAGTTTTTCACCATCTTCTCGTTGTATTCTGTGCACTTGTTGCTGAAGATAGCCAATGAATTAGATAAGTTTAACAGGCAAACATCCCCAAATGCTTGTTAGTGTATTTTTTTTTAATCCACAATTCTTTGTGTATTTAGGTGTACTGGATTACGAGCAGTTGTGTTACAAAGTCTTTGGGAGACTGGGAAAATTCACAGCCTCCCTCTTCATCATCATGAGGTATATTGGAGGTAAGAAAAATGAATGTTACATGACTGTAATAGATCCAACATGTGCTCACTCAGAAAGCCAAATCACTGCTCCTCTGTGTCTGCAATGAGCGCATGGAGGGGGGAGGCACAGGGGGAAACCTTGGTTGATGGAAAGCAGCTTGTGTTTTTTGGAAGCAGCTTCCAGTAAAACCTTGAGTCATTTTACAACATGTCGTGATTCTTTTCTTTGGAACATCTGGGCCCCTTGCCAAATATTAGAGATCGCTATTTTTATGGCAGTTTCCTCCTTTTCTTTTCTCTCCCTCAGTTTTACAGGAAAATGTGCTAACTGCTGTTGTTGTTGTTGTTTTGCTTTTTTTCCCCCTCCACAGTCATGTCGAGCTACCTCTACATCATACGAACTACCCACCGTTATAAAAGCATTCACAGGAGCCAATGTCAAGTGAGTAACTTAAATATTTTAGCAACTTCCACACAAAATTTGTTTCTTGTTCATGTTTCACTGTTTTATTTCACCTACCACAAGAAACACTGCTGATACTGGCATATTACTTAAATAAATACTATTACCAAATCTAATTTGATGGACCTGGAGGTTGTACACTTATTTCCAAGATAGCCGAGGACAAATCAGTCAGGTTGGCCTCTGTCCAAGGAACATCTGATTTGATTTTGGTAGTGGTTCAGATCAGAGCACCAGACCATTTGTTGTGCAGCCAAAGATGTAAACAAAATGTCAATACGGCATAGTTTACTCGCCCTAAAAGGAATGTTTCCTGGTTGCACTAAGACTAAGGTGTTGGTGAAAAACAAAAATTCCTAGAAGGAATGAAAGAGACCAGGAACACCTGAGAGAAGCACTTGAGGTGGACATGTTAAGCAAAATGGCTGCCAGTTGTTTTTCAAGTGCTGAGGGAAGGTGAAATAGGCATTTGTCGCTCTGCTTGGAGCACAGGCGGGATGTGTAGGAGGACTGTCTGGCTGTTTTTAAAGGACGGAGGGTGTTCCATCTCTCTGAGTGGCTCTTTCAGAGGGCCCTTTTAGGGAATCAGTCAGAGTCAGAGACACTTTATTTATCCCCAATAGGCAGTTAAGATAGATGATACTATGCCAATCACACATACAATACACAAACATCATATTGGGGAGACAGGTCAGGCTAGGTAGCCCTGGCTGCTTGACCACACGAGCAGCGACCCCAGTCGAAACAATGGAAAATGCACAACATGAGGAAAGACAAGAAAAAAGAACTCCCCCCAGACTGAGCCACACAGGGAGATCAGTTTGAGAACAGAAAAAAACACCTCAGCACATGAATCATCACATCTCACAACATAGAAGGCATAAGCTTCGAAGCATAAGCTTTGGAGTGGGGTTGTGGGGTGAGTGTAGGTCTGTGTCAGTGTACATGCATATGTGTGCGTGTGTGTTCCGTGTTCAGCTGAGAGAAAGTGTCCCTTCACCAAAAAGTGTCCCTTCACCCGGCTGGGCAAAAGTCAACAATCTTCAGTCGACGCAGGTAACCTTGAATGAGGAGGAAGAAAGTCACAACACAGTTGTTACGCCCCACTTAATGAACGGAGTGTCGACTGGAGTGAGGGGTAACACAAAGTGAAAGGGAACACATGAACTACTGGAGAAATAGATGTCAGTATACAAGATTTATTGCCTAAAACTACTACAGTACGAAAACACAGGGAAGCTCTTTTCTTCAGGGTCTCCAAGGCCAAAACAATAAACAAAACACCCCCTTTTAGCTAGAAATCAAAACCAAGTACTCACTAACCAAAAACAAAATACAATGGCTGAGCTCCCTGTCTAACCAAACCAGGAGAAAACAGGTGAAACAAAAATGGCAGAGAACCCCTACCTGCTTCCACAATGACAAACTAATTATCACAATAAGGGCACACCTTCGCTCACAATAAAAGAAAGAAAAACCAAAGTTCACAGAGGGTAAGTCCTCACACACATACACACAAAGGCCCGCTGCCCAAAACTCTACAGCTCACAGCTCTGGCAACATGGGGAAAATGGCAGGGGGTGTGGCAGTTTAGGATGGCAGCCTATATGCCGTGGCTGACGAGCTGGAACACACCTCAGCTGCGGCTCATGAGGCAGACCTGCAACACAAGAAAAGGAGAAAAACAACTCTTCTACAGAGGGAGAGCCACTAGAGGTCAGCGACCGTAACACCCCCCCACATAAAATATCACATACAGTAAACAGACACCTTTAACAACTGCCACCAGGTCCGTTACTGGGGTTAAGGGGTTAATACTGGGTCCTGGACAGTGCGTCAGCCACCACGTTGTCCACACCTCTCTGATGTCGGATGTCTATGTTATACTCCTGAGCAAGCAACGCCCATCTCATCAATCTTTGGTTATGATTGTACATGTGCTTTAGGAATACCAGAGGGTTATGGTCAGTATAAACCATGACAGGGGTGGTGGTTGACCCCACGTACACGTCGAAATGCTGCAGAGCAAGCAACATGGCCAGGGTTTCCTTCTCAATGGTGGAATAGTTGAGTTGATGAGGATTGAACTTAGCTGAGAAGTAGGAAACCGGGTGACTGATGCCATCAACTCCATCCTGCAACAGTACTGCTCCAGCGCCCGTAGCGCTTGCATCCACTTCTAGCTTGAAGGCCTTGCTGAAGTCGGGAGCAGCCAGTACAGGGGGCAAAGGAGAGACTTGGCACAGTCAAATGCATGTTGGCACTCAGCAGTCCATACGAAGGGTTCCTTTGGACTGCACAGACGAGTCAGGGGAGCCACCACTGTTGAGAAGTTCCGGCAGAAACATCTGTAGTAGCCCACCAGACCCAAGAAGCGTCTGAGCTCCCGTCTGGTGGTGGGCACCGGGTAGCTCAGTACGGCCTCCACCTTTGCATTCACGGGGCGCACCTGGCCATGCCCCACTTGTTTTCCGAGGTATGTCACTACCGCCTTGGCAAATTCACACTTTGCCAGGTTCAGAGTTAGGGAAGCCTGGGTTAAACGAGCAAAAACATCCCTCAGAGTACTCACGTGATCAGTCCAGCAAGAAGAATATACCACAATGTCATCCAAATACACATTACAACTGTGAATGTCTGCTAACACAAGGTTCATAAGTCGTTGGAAAGTGGCTGGTGCATTCCGCATGCCAAACGCCATCACTGTGTACTGCAAGAAATAGTCTGGAGTAACAAATGCTGAAATATCAGAGGCTCTGCTAGTTAGAGGAACCTGCCAGTACCCTTTTAACAGATCTAGCTTTGTTATGTAGGTGGCGGCTCCAATACTGTCTATGCAGTCTTCCATGCGAGGCAATGGGTATGAGTCAGGGACTGTGACTGCATTTACTCTCCTAAAATCAGTACAAAAACGAGGAGAACCATCTGACTTTGGTGTCAGCAGACATGGAGAGCTCCAAGAGCTATGGCTAGGTATCGCCAAACCATTTCCAAGCAGGTACTGTACCTCGTTTTTCATTAATTCCCTCTTGAGTGGGGGGCACCGGTATGCGTGTTGCTTAATAGGGCACGCATCACCCACGTCAATGTCGTGCTTTAACACTGGGGTTTTAGACGATACATCCCCAAACAGACTAGGGTGCGCTTGGATCAGATCCTTCACATCGTCTCTCTCGTCATGAGGAAGATAGGAGAGGTACGTGTCTAAGGCACCAAGAACCTCTGAGTTTGCAAGCCTGCCGCTCTGCTGACCTTCACTACCCTTCACCAAACCATCATCATGGTTTATGGGCACAGAAATGAGTGAGATGGAGCCCTCGCGATAGTCTTCCCTAGAGTGAAACAGTTTCAGCATGTTTATATGGCAGAGCCGTGTTTTACACCTCCTATCCGGAGTGCGAACGATGTAGTCTGTGTCATTGACTTTGCTCTCTACCACATATGGTCCCGCAAATTGGGCTGACAGAGACGGACCAGATGTGGGCACCAACACGAGTACCTGATCACCAGGTTTAAAAGAACGCTGCACTGCCTTCCGGTCATACTGCCGCTTCATTTTCCCTTGGGCTGCTGACAGAGACTTCTTAGCTATTGCACAAGCATGGTACAAACGTTCCCGACACTGCGTGACAAACTCAAGCACATTTGATTGCGGCTGCACATCAGACAAAAACTGTTCTTTCAGGGCTTTTAGAGGCCCTCTCACACTGTGCCCAAAAACTAATTCAGCAGGGCTGAAACCAAGGGACTCCTGTTTTGCTTCACGAGCTGCAAACAGCAGGAATGGCAGTCCCTCATCCCAGTTCTTGTCAGTCACCAGACAATATTTTCGCATCATCAACTTGATGGTCTGGTGCCATCTTTCTAGTGCACCTTGTGACTGGGGATGGTAAGGGCTGGAAGGGATGTGTTTGATACCAAGTGATTGTAATGTCTGCTTGAACAGTTTTGACTGGAAATTGCTGCCTTGGTCGGTCTGAACAATTCTAGGCAGACCGAATGTTGAAAAGAATTTAAGTAGAGCCTTAATCACAGTGGGAGCGGTGATTTTTCGAAGTGGTATGGCTTCAGGAAAACGGGTTGTGGCACACATGATTATCAAGAGGAACTGATTACCCGTTTTTGTTCTGGGTAGAGGACCCACACAGTCCACTAAAACACGCTCAAAAGGCTCCCCAACTACCGGGATGGGTTTAAGAGGAGCAGGTGGCACTGTCTGATTAGGTTTACCCACAATTTGGCAAACCTGGCATGTTTTGCAGAACTTGGCAACGTCTTTCTTCAGACCTGGCCAGAAAAAGTGCTGAAGAACGCGGTCATAGGTTTTAGTAATACCTAAATGACCTGACCATGGGTGTTCATGCGCAAGCTGCAATATGCCACCCCGGTAATCCCTAGGAATGACTATTTGGCGTACCACCCCCCAACCCTCATCACCTCCTTCCTGCTGTAATGCAGGTCTTGAGACCCATTTTCTTAGCAGTAACCCATCCTCAAGATAAAACCTGTGTGCCTTTTTATTGTTTGCTAACTCGCGTACCTCTTTAAAACAGTTAGCGAGTGACTCATCCTTTTCCTGAGCCTGGCTCAAACACTCACGTGAGACCGGCAAAGGAAGAACCTCGGACAGAGTAGCCAGACCCTGTTCATCGAGCGCTGGTTTAGAAGGGCTAGCAGCTGGCTCTCTGTCCCCAGTTAGAACCGATCCAAGAACAGTCTCACTTAGGTTCACTTCCTCCAGCTTCCGAGCTTGCGACCTGGTAAGAACACTGACAGAAAACACATCAGGGTGGGATTTCAACAGCTCGTCCTCTTCCGGGATACAGCTGGGTTTATCCACCACCTCAGGAACAGGGAGTACTTTGTCCCCAGCAATATCATTTCCCATTATAAACTCAACACCCTGAATAGGAAATGAGTTTCTTACTGCAACCTTGAACAAACCAGAGGCTAACCTCGACTGCACATGAACACAATGTAGTGGTGCAGGTATGTAGGCCATCCCAATACCTTGCACTATTGTACTAGCGTTACAAGATGACTCATCACTGACTGGCAAAACGTCGGCCAATAGAAATGACTGCGAGCCCCCCGTGTCCCTCAGCATTCTCACGGGCTTTTGATCCCCAGGAAACCCTGTTAAGGAGACAAAACCATCGAAAATGAAGGGTTTAAAACACTTATCAGGTTCACTCATGGTCACATGGGAGGGGGAGCTCAGCGACTTGACTAGGCCAACCCCTTTGGCTTGTTTTAATTGCTGGGGCACTTGTTTACGTTTAAGAGCCAAACACTCAGAAACTATATGCCCCACTTTGTGACAGTAGAAACATTGTCTATCAGACTTGGAACCCAAGGAACCCCTATGTGGTTGAGGCTTTGTGTCCTTTTCCAGTCGTTCACGATAGTGTGATTCGGATTTACCCACAAACACGCTTTTGTGCGTTAAAGCAAATTCTTCTGCCAGGACAGCTGCCTCCTGCAAAGTGGCCACTTTTTGTTCATTCAGGTACAGCACTGTACGATCAGGAACACAGTTTTTGAATTCCTCCAACAACACCAGTTCACGCAATGCGTTGAACTCTGACACTTTGCTTGCTTGACACCACCTATCAAATAGTGTCCCTTTTTCCCTTGCGAACTCAAGGAATGTTTGAGCAGCGGATTTCCTCAGGGTCCTGAAACGTTGCCTGTAGGCTTCAGGCACCAACTCATAGGCTCTGAGTATAGCGCTTTTGACATTGTCATACACAAGACTGTCCTCGATAGTGAGAGCTGCGCACACCTGAGAGAAGCACTTGAGGTGGACATGTTAAGCAAAATGGCTGCCAGTTGTTTTTCAAGTGCTGAGGGAAGGTGAAATAGGCATTTGTCGCTCTGCTTGGAGCACAGGCGGGATGTGTAGGAGGACTGTCTGGCTGTTTTTAAAGGACGGAGGGTGTTCCATCTCTCTGAGTGGCTCTTTCAGAGGGCCCTTTTAGGGAATCAGTCAGAGTCAGAGACACTTTATTTATCCCCAATAGGCAGTTAAGATAGATGATACTATGCCAATCACACATACAATACACAAACATCATATTGGGGAGACAGGTCAGGCTAGGTAGCCCTGGCTGCTTGACCACACGAGCAGCGACCCCAGTCGAAACAATGGAAAATGCACAACATGAGGAAAGACAAGAAAAAAGAACTCCCCCCAGACTGAGCCACACAGGGAGATCAGTTTGAGAACAGAAAAAAAACACCTCAGCACATGAATCATCACATCTCACAACATAGAAGGCATAAGCTTCGAAGCATAAGCTTTGGAGTGGGGTTGTGGGGTGTAGGTCTGTGTCAGTGTACATGCATATGTGTGCGTGTGTGTTCCGTGTTCAGCCGAGAGAAAGTGTCCCTTCACCAAAAAGTGTCCCTTCACCCGGCTGGGCAAAAGTCAACAATCTTCAGTCGACGCAGGTAACCTTGAATGAGGAGGAAGAAAGTCACAACACAGTTGTTACGCCCCACTTAATGAACGGAGTGTCGACTGGAGTGAGGGGTAACAAAGTGAAAGGGAACACATGAACTACTGGAGAAAGAGATGTCAGTATACAAGATTTATTGCCTAAAACTACTACAGTACAAAAACACAGGGAAGCTCTTTTCTTCAGGGTCTCCAAGGCCAAAACAATAAACAAAACACCCCCTTTTAGCTAGAAATCAAAACCAAGTACTCACTAACCAAAAACAAAATACAATGGCTGAGCTCCCTGTCTAACCAAACCAGGAGAAAACAGGTGAAACAAAAATGGCAGAGAACCCCTACCTGCTTCCACAATGACAAACTAATTATCACAATAAGGGCACACCTTCGCTCACAATAAAAGAAAGAAAAACCAAAGTTCACAGAGGGTAAGTCCTCACACACATACACACAAAGGCCCGCTGCCCAAAACTCTACAGCTCACAGCTCTGGCAACATGGGGAAAATGGCAGGGGGTGTGGCAGTTTAGGATGGCAGCCTATATGCCGTGGCTGACGAGCTGAAACACACCTCAGCTGCGGCTCATGAGGCAGACCTGCAACACAAGAAAAGGAGAAAAACAACTCTTCGACAGAGGGAGAGCCACTAGAGGTCAGCGACCGTAACAACAGTCTTGTTATCTAAGGAGAATATTTTGTTATTCCCGTCAGCTTTTGCCTTGAGCATCCAGCTGGCGCCAGGGGGGCCTTATGAGATGAAAATGGTAGTTGTTTTGGTTAGTGACAAACAAAATGCTTTCAATTTTACAGTTGATGTAGCCGGTGTTAAACAGGACTAAAAGCTGTAGAGGATCTGAGAGGAGTCTGATGAGAAAGTGGATTCAGTGTGCGGTTTTCTGTGTCACAGAACTAATTAGTTTACTTGTAGTCCTGGTTCATCAGTTTATGATGAGATCAAAGCTACTTCATATGCAAGATACACCTGAGAAAGATGATAAGACTAACAGAACATTCTAACTCTAACTAATTCATAGTAGATTTCACAGTATAACACTGAAAAACAACCTAACATGGTGTGTTGCCCCTTTAACACAGCTACAGAAATCTTTACCTACATGATGATTCATTGGTGATCTCTGTCAACTAACACTGACATGCTCTGTCCTGTATTTCAGACAATGGTACATCATGGTGACTACCTGGTGTTGCTGGTTAGTCTTTGCATTATCCTGCCCCTGACACTGCGCAGGGACTTGGGTAAGGAAAGTTGCGATCTTGTTCTTTCGTGACCATAGGGTGAGGGTAGGGACATAAATTGACCGGTAAATTGAGAATTTTGCTTGTACACTCAGCTCTCTCCTCAACATGACAGACTGGTACACCGTCTGCATCATTGCAGCCAGAGCACCAATCCACTTTCGATCTCCTGCTTCCTTCTCCTGGTACTCGTCCCTAATCTGGAATGGGCACACCACAGCCACGACCATGGCCTCAGATTTGGAGGTGCTGATTCTCATTCGCACTTCTTCACACTTGGCTGCAAACCATTCCAGTGCGAGCTGGAGGCCATCACCGGACAAAGCCAACAAAACCACATCATCCACAAAAAGCAGAGATGAGATTCTGAGCCCACCCAAGTAAAGCCTTCCGCAACTTGGCTATGCCTAGAAATTCTGTCCATAAAAATTACGAACAGAATCAGTGACAAAGAGCAGCCTTGGCAGAGCCCATCACCCACAAGTAACGAGTCCGACTTATTGCTGGCTATGCGGACCACTCTTGCAACGGTTGTATAAGGATTGAATGGCCCAGAGCAATGGGCCAAACACCCCATACACCCCATATGTCCACAAAACACATGTAGACTGGTTGGGCAAACCTCAAGTATTTTGAGAGGATACAGAGCTGGTCCAGTGTCCCTCTTTTGGGCTGTGCCCGCCAGGGGCCCATGGACTAAGGCCAGTCTGGTGGCCGTGATATTCCGAAAACATATAAACAATACATAAAAGAAAAGAAATTCCCTTTACACACACTAGCACACATGCAAGATTTCAAAACCTTTAAAACTTTAATAGCTTAGAGTGACGTGATACAGGGGGGCATCGCTATTAATTGTGTTTTTCCTCTTTCAGGTTGCCTTGGTTACACAAGTGGTCTGCCACTGCTATGCATGGTCTTTTTTCTGATTGTGGTGAGTGACACACCTTTCCTCATTCCTCATGCTACCATATCATCCTTTACGCAAATCTTTGGCAAATGCCTGTTCTTGGTTTGCCAGTTGAGTTTGAGTCAGAACATATTTCAGTCTTCCAGTGAAATCTCTTCCTGCTACACAAAAGAGCAGGATTCCTCTTTTTTTTTTCTAAAAATGTAGTCAAATGAATTAATTTAATAGTGGAACAGGACAGCACAACAACGGTCAAGTCTTTGTTTCTGATCATGCTGTAAATGCTGTAAATAAACCTTTGCACCTTCACAATAAGGAGCTAAAATGGGAAATTTGCTCTCCGCTCCTTCAAGGTGATCATCAAAAAGTTCCAGATCCCATGCCCTCTCCCTGATATTCACAATGACAACTCGACTCATTCGTTGAACAGCTCACACAGCGACAATACTTCTGACGAGGACACCTGCAGGCCAAAATACTTTGTCATCAATTCACAGGTAAAAGCCTTCAAAACTTAGAACATCTGTAGAACTGAAATAAACCGTAAGGGAATCATTTCTAGTGTTTGGATGTCAGTTATGATTTTTTTTTTTTTGATCTCCCTAGACTGTTTATGCTGTCCCTATTATTGCCTTTGTGTGCCACCCTGATATCCTGCCCATTTACAACAAGCTCAAAGAGTGAGTATACGCTGCCATTTATTTAAATTTCTCTGACAAAAAAAACACACTTTTGAATTTTTTACAGTGATTTTTGTCTGCTGACTAAATAAAACATGTCTTCAACTCTCTGCTGAACAGCCGTTCTCTTGTGTAATCAGTACATAGTTTTAGTTTGCATCATACTTCTGAGTTAAAAGAATATGAAAATCATTAGATTTATTAGATAGGTTTCTATTATCCTATACTGCTGACTTACTGTGAGTGAGTTACACTGTTTCATGACATTTCATACTGCTGAGTTATGAAGAGAATCTTGTGTGCAGAGAGTCAGGGCCTTGCTTTTCTGATAGTAGAGACAACAGAGCACATTGCACGGGAGCTTCACACTGTAGGAGTGTTTAGCTGATTTTAGAGTTTAGAAATGTGTTAACATAGAATGTAGAACACTAGAGACACTGCCCCCGATATAATAAAGGCCTCACTGTGTCGTGAACTTAGGAGTAGATTGTAGGAGACCCCTCCCCCACTTGAACTGTGAAAGTAAAACAGAGGAGTTAATGCTGAGTGGAAATTCCCCAGAGAATGTTTGGGTGGGGGTCTCAACATTTGTAAATGGATAACTGTGGTCTTGGAAGGGAGATGGGTTTTATGACCTAGGGAGTCACCTACACCCACAGTGTTTTAACTGTCACGCACACACATCCACACGCACACTGACTCATGTGCACACACATACACACAGGTATGCGTACACAGTCACACACGAGCACTCACATAGGCTACGTTCACACTGCAGGCGAAAGCGCATCAAATCCGATTTTTTTTGACCCTATGCGACCCATATCCGATCATACTATGACAGTGTGAACGGCACAAATCCGATATTTTCAAATCCGATCTGGGTCACTTTCGTATGTGGTACTGAATCCGATACATATCCGATGTTTTAGAAAGCGACTGCTGTTTGAACGGTCAAGTCGCATTAAATCCATCTTTTACATCACTGACACAAGACAGACGCCAATTATCAGCGCTGGAGAAGACATCGCGAACGCTTCCTGGCCATCCCGTGTAGATGTCAGTGAAACTGTTGGAGAGACGTGAACATTTTTTGTACTGTATAATCTGCAGATTCTGACAGAAATCTGCAACTATCCTTTGAAGCACCGCTCCTCTAAAACAGCAATAAGGATCATTATTAGGTTATCTACATTATTATGTAAATAACTTAAAGCAAAAATTGAGAAACGTAAAGTCCGAAGTCTTTATATTAATGGCCATCAGTCAAACAATATTGTTTGCTCTGGGTCTAAACAGAGCGCGTTGTGTGTGACGTCTTCTTCTGTGCATGCGGGCCGCTTTGAGGGTTCACACTAGAGCACGTTTGCTGTCGCATTTTATTTGTAGTGTGAACGAGCAGACAAAAAAATCGGATTTGATCAAAAAATCGGAATTGAGCATCGAGACCTGCAGTGTGAACGTAGCCATAGACACGCGGGAACGCGCACATGTAGGCATTCATGTGCTCGTGCACATAGACACAGACAGTTTGCAGCACGCCGTGGGGGTTTTATGATGGGGACGCCTCTATAAAGCTGGCTGTAACGAACAAAGGGGTGAAGATTTTTTGCAGAGGGACACACCGGCCTCGTCTTCCCTTCTAGAAGTGCATGCTTAAATGAAGATGAATAAAGATGAATAAAGGTTTTGTGAAATGACTGAGTTCCGGTGCCGTCTCTGGAAGTTTTGACGAATAAAAGAACCGGGGTAAAACTGATTTCGCAACAACACCCACCTTTTGTTGGAAGCAGAAAAACAGGGAGCCAAGGTCATAACTCAGGCTTACTGACAGTTAGAAAGAATGTGAATGCTTGGTTTGTGGCTGTGGCGCATTTTGTATAGCTTCTTTTCTTTTGTTTAGTAGCTTTCTGCCTTCACCTGAGAGGGTGTGCCCTAGGTATGTGCCTTCGGGTCTCCATAATTAGAGTTTATTTAAAGATACCTTGTGGCCCTAACTCAGCCAAGTGACGTAACATAGCCATAGTATTTTGCTTACACCCTTCCTCTGTGTGGCCAGTCACTAAAATGTCATCTACGTAGAGTAGAAACTGTCTCTGCCCCTCAAAAGTGAAGCCAAACAGGTGTTGTGGGTCGGGGTGGAAAGGCAATTCAATTCAATTTTATTTATATGGCGCCAAATCACAAAAAAAGTCGCCTCAAGGCATTTGATAAGTCTATCACTGAGAACCATTGTTCTTTTGGAGTGACTTGATTCAGTATAGTGTGGGGATTTGCTAATTCTGGTGGCATCATTTCAGTGATTTCATTTATTGCTCGCAGATCATGCACTAGACGGTATTTTGCAGTATTAGCTTTCTTCACCACTTAAACAAAACATCAGTCTTTGTTTTATTATTATTATTATTATTATTATTATTATTATTATTATTTAAATTCTCCTTTCTCAAAAACAGAAAATGAAATTGTAGTTGTTCTTGGCTGAGAAACATAAAACCTCCTTTTGTTTTTTTTTGTTTTTTCTTTCGAGACAAGAAACTAAGTTTTAACTTTTCTGCCTTATCACCTAAAGCAAAGCAGACAACCCATCTCCCAGCTGGCTCTGAACTTATCATCATCAAGGTCGCATGGTGAGAGCCACTTCAGAAGTCACAGTACTCCTCACATTTCAACATTTCAAAAAAAAAACAAAAAAACAACTAAACTCAGCACACTACACAGAGAACAACAGCCAAGACACAACTGGAAATGCTGTTCTTGTTTGTCCTCCTTGAACTTTAGAATAAACTTATTACATCTGCAATAGTAAATCATATGCCTAATCATTATATGTCACTGTGATCCACGAGTGTGATCACAAATTTACTTATTTTTCAATCCAACAAAACAAACAAACAAAAAAACAAAAACAAATTGCTGATGGCATGAACGCTTTACACACATGAGTCAGGATGCAAATAAAGGATGCTGCCAAAAACAAATCAGAAGTATGAGGGGAAAAACTGAGCTCACAGACAGCTGCATGTTTGAGTTTAATAGCATGCAGCTCCTGCTCTAAAAAACGTGTTACTTGCTCATCAGCTTAGCAGTGACCACATATTTAATTCAGCTTCTCAATTTTGTAGCTTTAGCTGTTGCATACAGGGTTTAGCTTATTAGTTGTTAGTATAGGTGTGCTCTATATTTCAGCAATGTCTCATCTTGGATGACAGGTTTTCAAGCAGGTCAAGTGCCTCTATGCACTTAATTAGTTTAGATATTTTCTGTATTACCGTCATCTCATATGTCATTGTACTGAATTTGAGCAAACCTTAAGCTTGATGCAGACTACTTTTAACAATTATCCACCTCACATCATATTAATATTATTTCATTATTAATGCTATTATCTTTTCATATAACAGCAATAGTATATTACAATATTTTATTTATATTTTATTTTGCATCCACCAATGGCTGTGGGTGATCTGCAGTTTCACCCTTTCCCAAGCTGGAGACATTTTCCTTTTCACACATTTTCCTTGGCTGAACAATGACACAACCTTAATATACTTTATGCATCTCTCTATTTCATTTAATATGTGTTTGTGTGAATTATCTGCTTTCTTTCATTCTATTCATTCTGGGCATGGTCTTCATCCTAACTATGTTTCATTGTTAACACCAGTTTACAGGTTGTTATCCTTGCTATTATTAGTTTGAATACATTAAAGATAAGCTCTAATGTAATTTAGCCTTTTGTTTATTTTACTTTATTCCTCTTGTATTTATATTTATTCAGTCGGGTCTGTTTCCAACCCTTTTTAAACTTCAGTCGGCTGATAATACAATCCTGTTTTTGTGATCTCTACTTTGATCTCTAATTTTTCAGTTCTCCCTTCAGTTTTGATTTCCCATGCTTGGAAAAGTCTATACTCTTCCATTGTTTTTTAATGCTTTTACTTTTTTGTCTGTCTCTCCCTTTCATCTGTCTGGGTGGTTGCAGCCACAGTGGTTGCAGCTAATCATTCTGTGTCGGGCGTTCTCTGTCTTACAGTCCCTTTCTTTTGGATTATTCCTGCTCCAGCTTGTTGTTTTTCTAAACATTTCTAATCAAGTGTTAATTTTTCTTGTTTATTCTCCATTTTCATAGATTTTGCTGGGCCGTCACTGGCACACTTGACTTCAGAGTGGTTTACTGATACGGCCTTCGACTTCACCCTAAAGGTGAAGCGCTATCAGTTTTATGAGATGAAACTCAACCGTTCTCCTTTGTCACCAGTACGTGAGCCTCAGCAAAGAAAACAAAAAATGGAAGTAGTTCAGCAGCGTATTGTGCTGTAAAATCAACTTACTTCCAGACACATACACACATATAGACATTTGCGCGCTTATTTAACTTAAACCTATTTGGTCACGAAGTAATTTCGGCTACCTCTAAAACCAGCCTAAACTTAGGTCCTTTTGGTGAGCTTAAACCTATTTTACGCGTTTCTTTAAACCCTTACGGCGGGTTAGACCAAAATAGAGTTTTCTCACCCTCAGACGTCTCAGTGGTGTTTCGGATCATCAGACTGAATCCCACCACCGTGGACCAGACTATAAACACCGGCCCGGACCTGAATTCACGTCCCAGGGCTTTCGTCCTCGTCTAAGAGGGCTGTGCACAGACTTCGGTGCTGGCTTCCCACGGCGTCAGGAATCAGTGCTGGATCCTAGAACAGAGTCACAGATAACAGTTCTGATGTTTCTGCCCCGGCTACGAAGGACCAAAATAAATGTCAAGAGATTTATTCTAAAAGACACTTCTTCAGCTGAGAGTCAGAGAGTGGAGACACACACGTTGCAAGGGCGGTCACAGAGCGCTCACATCAGAGTGGGGGCCCTGTGAAGTGCGCTTTGTTACCACTCTGGTCTTTATTTATATACAAAAAGTAATACAATAGTGAATACATCTGTTCATAGACAGAGGAATGTTAGTGCATATGCAGGTGTGTGTGTGTGTGTGTGTGTGTGTGTGTGTGTGTGTGTGTGTGTGTGTGTGTGTGTGTTGTGGGACTCAGAAGGGAGTGGAGACAAGAGTGGTTCAGCTCTTATTATCGCTGTGGGAAGAAACTAAGAAAGAGAACAGAACAAGTTTTTGTAGTGAACAACAGTCTAACACATCTAAAAGGTCATAATGCAGTATTCTATCATATGCAAACTTATATCATTAAAAGCTTATAATGACTACTAAGTACAATTTTCCATTGACACACACCAAGGTTAATTATGGAGTTCCACAGGGTTCAGTGCTAGGACCAATTCTGTTTACATTATACATGCTTCCCCTTGGCAGTATCATTAGAAGACATAGCATACATTTTCACTGCTATGCAGATGACACCCAGCTCTATCTGTCCATGAAGCCAGATCACACACACCAATTAGTTAAACCGCAGGAATGTCTTAAAGACATAAAGACCTGGATGGCCGCTAACTTTCTGCTTCTTAATTCAAATAAAACTGAGGTTATTGGACTCGGCCCTGAAAATCTTAGAAATATGGTATCTAACCAGATTCTTACTCTGGCATTACCTTGGCCTCCAGTAATGCTGTGAGGAAACTTGGAGTCATTTTTGACCAAGACAAGTCCTTCAACGCACATATTAAACAAGTATGTAAGACTGATTTCTTCCATTTGTGCAAAATCTCTAAAATTAGAAATATCCTGTCTCAGAGTGACGCTGAAAAACTAGTTCATGCATTTATTACTTCCAGGCTGGACTACTGTAATTCATTATTATCAGGATGTCCTAAAAACCCGCTGAAAAGCCTTCAGTTAAACCAAAATGCTGCAGCAAGAGTGCTGACAGGGACTAGAAAGAGAGAGCATATTTCTCCTGTTTTGCCTTCCCTTCATTGGCTTCCTGTTAAATCCAGAATTGAATTCAAAATCTTGCTCCTCAGATACAAGATCTTAAATAATCAGGCCCCATCTTATCTTAATGACCTTGTAGTACCATATCACCCTATTAGAGCACTTCGCTCTCGCTCTGCAGGCCTACTTGTTGTTCTTAAATTATTTAAAAGTAGAATGGGAGGCAGAGCCTTCAGTTTTCAGGCCCCTCTTCTGTGGAACCAGCTTCCAGTTTGGATTCAGGAGACAGACACCATCTCTACTTTTAAGATTAGGCTTAAAACTTTCCTTTTTGCTAAAGCATATAGTTAGGGCTGGACCAGGTGACCCTGAATCCTCCCTTTCTTTTCTCACCTTTCTCACTCACTATGTGTTACTAGACCTCTCTGCATTGAATCATATCTGTTATTAGTCTCATGTCTTTCATCCTGTCTTTTTTCTCTCACCCCAACCAGTCGCAGCAGATGGCCCCGCCCCTCCCTGAGCCTGGTTCTGCCAGAGGTTTCTTCCTGTTAAAAGGGAGTTTTTCCTTCCTACTGTCTCCAAAGTGCTTGCTCATAGGGGGTCATATGATTGTTGGGTTTTTCTCTGTATCTATTATTGTACGATCTACTGTGCAATATAAAGCGCCTTGAGGCGACTGTTATTGTGATGTGGTGTCATATAAATAAAATTGAATTGAATTGAATTGAACTGAGGAGTACACAACTTCAGTGACCAGCTACATCAGGAAGTGCATAGAGCATGTCACTGTCTCCAAGATCGTCATCAAACGTGCAAACCATAAACCCTGGTTTTCTGCAAAGCTACATAGCCTGATGAAAATCAAAGACTTTGCCATTGAGTCCAACAATAGGGAAGCTTACACTACAGCCAGAGCAGACCAGGCAAAGCGAGAGTATGCAGAAAAAATCAACACACATTTCACAAGTTCAAAGGACACTAGGTGCATGTGGCAGGGTATTCAAACAATCATGGTCTACAAGCCAACACCTCCGGCATGCAGCAGTGATCCCTCTTTGCCAGAGAAACTGAATGCTTCTTTGCAGAGTAAAACCATGAAAGGCTTCTGGACCTGACAACATAACTGACCAGGTGCTTTGGGAGCGTGCTGACCAGCTCACAGGCATCTTCACGGACATCTTGAATACATCACTGAGCTCAGCTCTGGTACCTGCATGCCTCAAAACCACAACATTCATCCCAGGGCCAAAGAAGTCCACTGTGATCTGCCTCAATCACTACTGACCAGTGGAACTTACACCCATCATCACAAAGTGCTTTGAGAGGCTGCTATTGAGGCACATGAAAACTCAGCTTCCAAAGAATCTGGACCCGCTACAGTTTGCTTACCGCCCAAACCACTCCACAGATGATGCCATCTTGTCTCCTCTTCACCTTTCTCTCTCCCACCTCGACAAAAAGGACACTTTTGTCAGAATGCTGTTTATTGACTTCAGTTCAGCATTCAACACAGTCATTCTCCAGAAGCTTGTAAAGAAGTTGGACCTACTGACAATAGATATCACTCTCTGCAATTGGATCTTGGACTTCCTAACTGACAGGCCCCAGTCTGTCTTCATAGGAAATAATACTTCCAAAGTCCTCAGACTGAGTACAGGTTCGCCGCAGGGCTGTGTGCTTAGTCCACTGCTGTTCACCCTGCTAACACATGACTGTATTGCACAGTAATTCTCAAATCACATCATCAAGTTTGCAGATGACACAACAGTGGTGTGTCTCATCTCCAGCAACGGTGAGTCTGAAAACAGAGAAGAGGTACAAGACCTGGTGGACTGGTGTCAGAATAATAACCTGTCTCTAAATGTTCAGAAGACTAAAGAGATGGTTGTTAACTTCACGAAGAGTTCAACGACCCTGCCAGTTTGTAGTCGGGATGAGTCGACATTGCAAAATGATATTAGTTTGACCCACTTAAATACTCCTAAAACAACATAGAAGCCACCAGAGAATTTAGGTGGTGTGTGTGGAAGCAAACCTCTTTTGCTTAAATATACATGTAACGAAAAAATGTTGTTCTTCCCTGTAAGTTTGAAAAAAATGTTAGGGACTGTAAAATATGAATTACTACAAATAATAGGTCGTGTGGAATAACCTCCCTGTGTCTTTCTCATTGTGCAGATTCGTACCACTGTCAACCACCTCCTGTGCCCTTCTAAGGGATTCAGCTGGGTTCGTCACACTACCATCACTGTGTTCTTGCTGGCTGGCACAAATGCCCTGGTTATTTTCGTTCCCACCATCTTTAGACTTATAGGTATATGTCTGCATGCAAGATATTGTAATAACATCTTAAAGAGCAACAGTAAAAGAAAGGATTGTGACTAAAATGCCAAATGTCTTTACAATGTCAGACATTTCTGCTGCTGCCATGCTCATCTTCATCCTGCCTTCAGCTTTCTACATCAGACTGGTCAAGAAAGAGTCCATGAAGTCTGGGCAAAAGATCGGGGTAAGATGGAGTTCGATGAAATGAACCGTTTTTGAACTTTACACTTATTTGTTTCCTTGCCAAGGATTCGACACGGTTGTAGCTGCAGTAATTAGCCCTTTAGTTTAACTTCATATTAAGCAAACAATCTTATGTTTTATTGTTTTTTCATTAATTATCATATTTTTAATTACAAAACAGTACAGTGCAACAAACTAATACTATATCTTCTGCATTGCTAAGCTAAAGTAAGATAATTAGCTTTATACTGAACCAAAGACAACAAATTACACGTCTTAAACTGTGAAAGGTTTCATTTAACTTGGTGTGAATGAACACATTAGCTAACTGTGATCTTATTTTGCTCTCTAGGCATGCCTCTTCCTCCTCATCTGTATCACGGTCATGTCCAGCAGCATGATCCTCATCATTCTGGACTGGATCAAGAACGCCACAAGCGAGGTCTCTCCTGAAACTGTATTTAGTCTTTATAACCTGCTGAAGGTCTGCGCAGCGACAACACTACTGCTTTGAGAAGGCCTGCGAGCCTCCCGGTTCCACTTCCCCCACTCAGGGGTTGTGGGAAACTTGAAATTTTTTCTTTATGGGAGAATACTTTGAATTTTGACCACATACCTGTTAAACATGCAAAAAAAAAAAAAAAACAACCTAAGAAACAACTAAAAACAGGTTGCACTCTTGAACACCTTCAACCAAACAATAACGAACAAGAGAGCTCGACGCGGATTCCTTCCCACCGAGTGGAGAGCCCGTCGTAGATGGCACACTGTGCTTCCAACATTCACACGTCACCGAAATGTTGTCATCTATTTATGGAAGACCGGAGATGTGCAGAAAATGTTGTTTCTGCACATCTCCGCTTGAGAGTACGTCAACCAACTCTTGACCTCAGCAGCAAAGAAAAAAAAACCTCCAAGCTAAAGCCAACAACAGAATGTGGAAGAACTACTATGTTTAGTTGTTTTTTTTTAATCTCCAAAACACCTATGCACCGTGCTAAAGAGAGAGACCAAGTTCAGCTTAGATAGACCCAGGCCATATTTTGCTGTAATACCATTCTGTACCATAAGATGGTGCAGCAGGTTAATGTAAAATTTATTATCAATGAAAATAAAATTTTATTTACAACAGTGTGAGAAAAGGAAAAGCTTCATGAGGGGAAAGGTGCAGTTAAAAAAACAAGCTGTCAAAAAAAAAAAAAAAAACCAGCAACAGCCCTTTTAAAAATTAAAAACACTGCCCACTGGTGGATGAAGTTTTAGTTGCAATTTGCAAAAAGTACCTTTGAGGGCTTTGTTTTAGAAATGTAAGCCAATCAATGCCTGTAGGAGGCAGTGTTTAATTCAAATAAAAGAAAAGTTAAAACACACACGTCTTTCAGATTCTTTAGTATTTAACAAAGTGAGTGTTTGTTCACATGGAGACAACTTCAACTCCACTGTCTTTTAAAAATGAAGCAGTGGGCTCAGATAATTTTGAGTTTTAGTTTATTTCTCCAGAGAAAGATTTCTGCAGAGCTGAAACACCAGCTTGACAATGCTGCCCCCAAGCTGACGGAGGTTGACATTGTGCTCCAAGGATCAGACACCGAGGTTCATCCATGGCACCAATTCAGTTGGCTTAAGCGCTGTGTGTGTGTTTAGGCCAAGGAAGATGAGTTTTTCACTGCAACTTGTTTTACTGAAGCTATGCAAGTGTGTTGAGACTTCATTTCAGGATTTGTGTGGTGTGTACCCTGAATAGTTTTAAGGGGCAGGTCAAAATGAAACTTCATTCTGATGCAAGAATACCTTTAACAGCTGGTCAATCTGCCATCGTAACTGAAAGTCCAGAGGTTACGTTTCTGATATTTGCAGGGTTTGACTGCCATTTTTTAAGCACAAATTGGGGGGGGGGGGGGGGGGGAGAGACCAGAGTTGTAGCTCATAGTTGTAGATACTCCTCCCTCCTTCAAACATGGGCTCAGAGTTCACGGAAGCTCACCCACAAATGCAGATTTCATGATTATTTTCTTACCTGAATTTGTGAATTCGTAACAATTTTAGGTACACAAATGATGTCGGCCTGAAAAAAACAAACATCTTTCAATGAACAGATGCCCTATCATCAGCAGGACTCTTATCTCAGGCTGGTCCTTGTCCTCCACATGCTTTCTTCTTGTTCTTTTTGGGGACGAGTCGACTTTAATATGAGTCTGTGCCTAACACATGAATTGGATGATAGCAGAGTTAAGACTCAATTTGTTTGCATGTCTAAGTGAAAGAGGTGCATCTTCAACATGTTTATGTCTGGATGGGAAACAAAAATGTGTCATAATCGTGCAAACTGGGATGTTTAATCTAAAACATGAACACTAATGTGAAAGAATAGTGGGTTTAACACGACGGTAATGTGGAGTTCGTCACATAAACCACCTCCAACTCTACACTTCAAAGACCAAGGAACTGGTTGTGGACTTTGGGAGGTCCAGATCAGGTCCACTGCCAGTTCAGACAGAGAGAGAGGAGGTGGTCAACGCATACAAGTACCTCGGGCTGTGGGTGGACAACAAGATGGACTGGTCATGCAACACAGAGCACTTGTATAAAAAAGGCCAAAGCAGACTGTACTTCTTCAGGAGGCGGAGGTCCTTCAACATCTGCAGGAAGCTCCTGAGGATGTTTTACCAGTCTGTGGTTGCTGGAGTACTGTTCTATGCTGTGGTGTGCTGGGTGAGCAGCACAGCAAAGAAGGACTCATCCAGGCTAGCTCTGTGGTCAGCATGGAGCTGCACACTCTGGTGATAGTGGCAGAGAAAAGGACAAAAGAAACTGCTGGACATTATGGACAATGCTGGGCATCCTCTGCACACGGCCATAAACAACCAGAGGAGTCTGTTCAGTGACAGGTTGCTTCTCCCAAAGACAAGAACCAACAGACTTAAAAACTCCTTTGTTCCACACGCTATCAAACTGTTTAACTCCTCTCTGGAGGGGAGAGGGAGGGGAAACAGGAGGACAAAGGAGGAGGGAACTAAGCTGTAGTGCCTTTTCACTGTGCAATACTTTTTGTTAATATCCAACGGTGCAATAGACTCACAATACTGTGAAATGTGCAATTCCCTTGTATTCTTATTCCTATTTATCCCTTTTGTATACTCTGTATTTATATATGTCTCTGTATTGTGTGTGTATATATGGTACATTTCTGCTCACATTCTGCAACTTCTGTCGGTGCTGTGCTATTGGAAACCAAATTTCCCGGAGGAACCCACCCGAGGGATTAATAAAGTTTTATCTAATCTAATGTGTGACTGTTTTACAGTACTTTGCAAGAATCCTGTTTCCAAAGAGCCAGACTGCATTGTAATTTTGTTAAAAGCAGTCATTAGCAACAGCACTGCAGAGGTCAGTCCAGTCCTTGTGCCTGACCATTTTCAGAGGAATGCTTTAACACTGACTTATGAATTATTCAAGCATAACTCAAGGGACGAACTAGTGTTGTGTCTACAGAGTAACAGACAACTTGGCAAAGAACCCATTTTAACTTCTTTAAGCACTTAGATACTTGCAGCCTGTTGCAAAAAGACATTTTCCCCAAATTTCTTTAGTGTATCTATAAAGCTGAAAAGATGAAACCATTTGACAGCCCAAAAAACCCCCAAAACAAAACAAACAAAAAAACCCCAGGAAAAATAGTATCGCTAGTAGCTGAAAAATTGGCAAATCCCAGTCGATATAAGGACACACAGACGTTTAGTGTGTCCTTCTACAAATTTGAGGAAATTTGACAAACAAAAGCAGCCAAAGAAGACTTAAGGAAAGCCTAAAAACTGATCTACAGCAGAGGAACAGTATTCTGAAAGTCATGTCTTTAAAAGAAAAATCCATCCGTCTACTGTTCACTTACACCTCATTAGAAACAGGGAAGGGAAACGGAGAAAAGACTGAGGGTATGCCAAATTACTCAAGAGCTGGACTGAAAATCAGGTCTTATTGAGATGTTAATTCCACATTCCTGCTTTAAATTATTGTCACTAAGCGCAGACAGGATAAAACAGTGAGTGTCTACAACCACGTGTAAAACACGGGGGAGGCTTTGGTTTTGGGGTGCTTGTCAGCCAGTGGTGTTGGTGATGTTCCTGTTCCATCATGATGATGATCCCAAACACACTGCTAATACAGTAAAAGCAAAGACAGAAAAAGACACTGGAACAGTCAGACTCAGTCAGCTTTTTTGTTTAGACCCAGTATGTATCCATGTATGTCTACACGTTTCAATACATTGTTGGCTCTAGACTTTTGCACAGTACCATAAAAGAAACCTAAGAAAAAGAGCATTTCTCTTCATGTCACGCTGTTCTCCAACGACCATGAACGCACCAACGCTGTTGGTCACTCTACATATATGTACCTTGATATTGTTTATTAGATTCATGTCACACCGTGTAGCCTGCAATTAAATCTTACAGTGACCCGGCGCTCTAACAGGAAGTCTTTCATGCAACTCCTGTCACAACACACACAGAAGCACGTTAGGAGGCAGCTAATTTATTCAACTACTCTCTGGATAGCTTCCACAGTTCATGTATACTCAGACACTTATTACACATTCAAGCAAGGGGGTGGAGTTTCTAAACTACCCCCTCCCACCCAGGAGCTACAGCTCACATTATACACTCACTGCTGATTGGTTAACCCAGTTTGGGTCCAATCAGGGCCCTGATTACAATCACGTTCATTAGATTCCAGCCCATCACTGGGCCACACAGATTGATAAAGGCAATAAACTAGGATCTCATCTGAAATATTATTTAACATTTAAAAAAGGACACTGACAATATTCAGTTCAGAAGCGATCAGGATGCCCTAACAGAGAAATTCGTTGTACCAGCTGGCACCCTGGAAATGTCTTTCACTGAGTGGTGCATCTTTAACATCATCCACCCCACCCACCCCCTCTCCCCACACTAGCCTGCGCTCTTTACAGTAGTTCCCAAGTCACATGATCTATGCAAAATAAAGGGCTCTTGCATTACAATTTCTGATTGGGTTGTTCTTTTCTGACAAAATATGAAAATCTATAGAAAAAAATCTTCATCATTCAATAAAAGGTAGAGATATCAAAAAAAGAAAAGAAAAGGGGAAAAAAAAAAAAGCTGGCTCTCCATCATCTTTCAGCTCGGAGGCCAAATTCCAAGGAGAAGAAATTGCACTTGAGCAGCTCAATGGGTCTTTGAGGGTTTTTGCCACCTCAGCAGCAGGGCGACGTTTCATTTCTTGCGGGCATGCTTGTATTTGTCCACGTAGGCCTTCACCAGGTTGGCCACCTTACCAGAGTTCACCTCCCCACTCTTGCTGTGACACACCTGAAGTGGAAGAAAAGCCAAACACATAAAGTCAGGAAATACCGATCCCTAAATGTAACAGTCTGTATGTGGTTGTTTTAAAAAGCAGCGGGCTTTTATTTGGCCTTCACAAAACCAAAAATATCTAATGTTAGCAGCAACTGTTGGCAAATACACTCAATAATGAGAACAATAATAAGCTAGCTGCTCTCAGAGTTTGTGTGAACATTACACCTGGCTACCACACAGCTAGGTGTCTGTATTCAATATAATTTAAAGGCCGTGTATTGGGCTCTGATTGCATTAAAAATGCAGATGACAGTAAAAGAAATCTGAGGGTTTACCTTCTCTACTGCCTTGCGCACAATCTCCTTATACTCCTCCTTTGTAATCTCCTTCTTTTGGTAAAATGGTTTGATGGCTGTCTTCACTTCATTTATAGCTTTCTCTTGGATCTGTTGTTTCTGCAACAGTAAGAGGAACTTGGATTATCCAAAAGACAACAAACAGAAAAGGGCAGAGAAGAAAAAAACTTTACTGAATGACCTTTGATGGAGTGACAGATCAGTTACCTTTTCTTTTTTGGAGCTGTCAGCCTGGGCCTTGTTATGCTGGCCGGGCTGAGTTGTAGAGGATGGCAGCGCCTGGCTTGGTGCCGGCTGGCCTTGTGTCACTGCTACAACCCCAGCTTTGGTTGGGGTTGGAAGCAATGCTGGTTTCACAAAACTCACCTTGGTATTGGCCATCTAATGCAAAATGGGAAAAATCACAGAGAGAATTATGGGAAGAACTGCTTGGAGACAGTTATTGTGCCCATTTATAAAATAAATAAATAAAAACATTAGACATTCAGGAATTGGAAACTAATCCTGCCAAGACTACCATACCTGTGCAGCGTGGCCGTCTGGCTGAACCGCTGCTGTCTGGCTGCCTTGCTGCATTGGTGGAGGTGGTGGTGGAGGAGGTGGGAGGCCCTGAGCACCCACAGCGGGCACCTGCAGCAGCGGCACAGCAGGGTGGAGATGCATGGGGACCTGAGGAGGCATGGCATAGGGTGCTGCAGGCTGCAAGCTGACCGGCAGGGCTCCTCGTGGGGCCTGCATGGGGTAGTGATGAATAACATTAAGCTGCGGAGGATGAGGTGGAATCACGTTCATCAGAGGCACCGGAGCATTACCGGGGACTGCCTGGAGAGGAGGATCGCTTTTTGGAGGATCTGGAGAACAAGGACCACAAATAATAATGAAAAAATGTGAGGGGACAGTGAATGTGAGAGGCTAAATAAAACTCTGTCTGTGCTTATTCACGTAGGTTTATATAAAAAAGTGCAGGACAGGATTCGCAGAAGGCAGAATGAAAAGAGCCGCCTTATATCAAAAATAGATGTTGTGAGACTTTCAAAGGAATAAATTAACTTCAAAGAAATCACAGTTTCCTCTAAATCGAATGGAGTGCAGATACCTGGGGGTAATTTCTAGTTGTTCTCTCCTCACACATGAACTAAAATTATCTTCTTCTCGTTGGCTCAAAGAGAATATTCAACACATACCACCATAATGTATA